TTTTAGGGCTTATTTCGCTGTTGTGGATGTCCTTGGGAGGACTGAAAAAAGCTACTCGAACGCAATGTTGCGGAATGTATTCAATGTCCACCACATAAATGCCAAAATCGAGAGGAATGGTAGACGAGGTTGAGAAGTGATTCTTGAAAGCTAAAAAACAAATTTAGGGGGTCATAAGCAAAACAACCAATCTACGCCTCAATTCTTGAATGCCTGAGTTTGACGAGAAAGAAGCATGTATGGTCTTCCCAATCATGCCCTACATAAGGGAGTAGTTTAATCTACCTCGGCCTAGTAACAAAACAGCATAAAGGCCTCACTCAAACACTTTATGCTGTTAGCGTGGACAATCCGGAGACGGAGAAATATGGGTGGAGTGAAGTACTGGTGCGAAAATCCTTCAACTATCAAGACACCACTATATAGCGAACAAATCATTCATTGCATTTTCTTTCCACAGGTTTCTTTGCCACTTTTAACACAAAAGCTGATATTCCAAGCTTTCATGTAGCTGTAGTTTTAAGTCCTTTTAAGCTGGCCCATGACTTCTTAAGCTCTATCCACAAGTTGATTTTAAGAATTCGCTAAGTTAACCGCTACTAGAATTATTTCTGGACCACCTGAAGGTCTACAAACTTGATTGGGATTTCAGGGGAGTACATTTGGTTGAATTGTAATTCAACATAGAAATGCTTCCTCCAAGTATGATGCGAATGGTGGAAAAGCATAGCCATACATCCCAATTTTGGTCCGATCGAGAGCAGCAGTTTAAGACAAATCGCGCGAAGCACCAAATAAGATTGAGAGTCTAAAGATGACATTTTACCACAGCTACACGAAAAAAAAACAGATCTTCGACATCCCAACATCAATGTCACGCCACGGACATGAGGACTTCAAGGGTGTAGGAGAAGGACAATGCCCCACAGACGTTTCATGATCTGAATTTTCGGACTTACGATCAACACCAGGCACATCAATGAGAGGTTGGTCATTAATGCACACAGTATAGCCTTGGACGAGAGGTTCATTTTTGCAGTTAGGGGGAATGTCAGGTGCTTGTGGGACTGGTCGCCATGAAATAAGGAGAACACCATCCTGGGGACCAGCCTCCACTTGAACATTCTTCGGTGGATCCGGGAGGCCTTTTGAAGATAAAATAGTGAGGCAAAATAATCAGTTTGGGTGATGATGTATAAGCGATCCCTCACATC